AGCAACAAACCCTCATTACAAACTGATCCCTATTACAAGTGCCAATTTGATGCACTTTTAATGATTTATGTGTCAAATTGTGTGCATTTATGTCATACAGTAAGTTATGTGTGTCTGTGTGAGTGTCTGTGTCTGATGGGGTGATCCCTTTGGTGTCTGATCCCTGTGATGTATGTGCATAGAAATGGTAGTGTATTTGCATGGGATGCACATCAGTCTCATATACTGTAACCCATAACCCATAGCATACACCTTATAGACTATAGACTATAGACTATAGACTAGTGAAGGCTTGACCTCAATATACCGTAATATTAAAGAGGATGAGAGGACTCAATGGACTCAATGGATGCAATGCATTGACACTCCCTGTATGTCGTCATAAGTATATAGCACTACAAATAAGTTGGCGTAGAGTAGTGTGACATATGGTGTGCAGCCATTCAGCAGTACAGTGCAGTCATGAATGCGGTGTTCATATTATACAGTGAGAGTGAGACGACGAGTGTCTCAATGAGTGTATGTATGCTATGATTGCTATGAATGTTGTATTCATAGCACAAGTGATCGCATCCAGCAATTAATTTCCACTAATTGTGGTCATAGTTTGCATTACACTTGATTGGGATACCATTTGTTGCCAACTATGGGTAAGTGTTGTGCCCCCACCCCACACACCCTCTGTCTAACTGATGCCTAGTTTACTATTTGTGCCATTTATTGAGGATATTCACACATTTGTTGTGGTTGAGCAGGATCAAATTGTGGTTGCATTCTGTATATGCGATAGTGATTTGATTGCAATTTAATAGCATTAAAATACAATTGAATACAATGTATGCCATCATTGACTCATTGATAGCTATATGGAGGGCGAGTACTACTACTATATAAGGCATTCATGAGTGTATTAATAGATAACTTCCGTAAATATGAATTATTGTTAAATATGACAATAGACTAAATAGTTACACACTTTTCACATATTGTAACATTAATGCCATATGAATACAAATGAAGCAATGATTGGACAGTTAGTTGGTCTATAAACTACTGTCACTTTTGGTTTTGTAATGAAAGCAAATTTGAAGCATTTGATGACAATATCTAGCTATTGGTGAATGACTATAATGACTATAATACCTAAATAAATTGCCACTTTTGATTCCCAGTCATAACCAAAAACGACAAAATATGTAATAAAATACATTTGTAATACTGATGTCCCATTTTGAACACAATTGTGTGTTTATGAATACCAATTGTCATAATGTATGTGGGCTTTAAAATATTAGATTAACTTTGAGTAGAATTTATTTGTGAGTTTAGCTTTGATGGCAAAGTTATCTCAGATGAGAGTGGATTGCAATGACTATAATTGCAATACTGATGCTTATAGTGACAAACCCTATGAACAGTCGTTCACTAGTTTAGTATATTTTGAATGTCAATACGATGATTATGGTAAGCAATTGGTATCAATTAACACAATTGACAATAATAATGAAAGTACAGTACAGTTGAGACAGAATTAGAGATAACCAGTAATTTAGATATGAATTTTGAGTTGAATTAAATGAAACTCATTGCCAACAACTGTCTCAATGATTGACACTTTGATATGATTGACTGAAAACAGGGAAAGTGTTGTGTGAGTCGTGTTGCAAGAAGTGCTCGGGAAATGTGCTCCGGGTCGGCAAAACATACTTTCACATCGACTGCTTTAAATGTCACGGTATGTCACTCACGGCCAGTGGTCTCCACTCTCTAACTCATGACTCCTGCCATTGAAATACCCCCAGAATGTCACTCATCTCTAGCGACCGGAGGTTTCTTCAGCCGTACGTCCAATTCAGTGCAACACTACTACTGCACCCTTTGCTACCAGAAGTCATTCGGAACCAAATGCTCGGCCTGTCATCAGTTCGTTGAGGGAGAGGTTGTGACCGCTTTGGGAAACACTTATCACCAGAACTGCTTCCGTTGCAGCCGTTGCCAGTGAGTGCTCTCCCATCCCTCCCATCCCTCTAACCCTAATCCCAATTGTGAACACTTTTGACATATAATTAATTGAAATTGCATTGAAAGACAAGCATTTCCTACTGGCGACAAAGTGACCTGGAATGGCAAGGAATGCTTGTGCGCCAAATGCGTCCAAATACCTGTTGTCTCCTCTCACACACCCGATGGCTTCGGCCCCAGTAAGCACTTCCACTCTCTTCACGCTCTTCCATATAAAGACATTATCTTTTGTAAACAGAATGCAATGCTTGTGAAGAAGAAATAAATGAAGGCCAGGCCTTAATAGCATTAGACAAACAGTGGCACATCTGGTGCTTCAAATGCGAGGCTTGTAAGGCTGTCCTTCACGGCGAATATATGAGTAAAGATGGAAAGGTTTATTGCGAAAAGGATTATCAGGTCAGTCGTGCTTCTCTCTCTCTCTCTCTCGCTCTCTCTCTCTCGCTCTCTCTCTCTCTCTCTCTCTCAGAATTTATAATTAATGTAAATTTTACAAATGATAGAAACTCTTTGGGATCAAATGTAATCACTGCGAGCGATATATTACTGGTAAAGTACTTCAGGCGGGAGAGAACCACTTCCACCCGACGTGTGCGCGGTATGTCTTTGGCTGTTATTGTTATTACAGAAATGGATTAATTTATTAAATATCAATACAAACAATACATAACAGATGTACTAAATGTGGCGATACTTTCGGGGACGGAGAGGAAATGTTTATGCAGGGCGGGGCCATATGGCACCCCCGGTGCGGACCAGGACCTGATGGCAAGATGGAAGTGGACGGTCCTCTCGATGGACAGGTATTAACAATCTTTTATACTATTTGAAAGGTTTATAACTCTTATCCATAGTTGAATGTGTAAAGCAGTATTTAAATATACCGTAAATTGAATTTTGGTATTAAGTATTTGTTGCTAACACTTGTATTGTCGCAATAATTTTACCATTAATTTAAAAATCTAAATCAATATACGGTATAATGAATTACAGACATACGATAAAACATGAATAAGAGTTGTAACGTATTATTGAAATGAAACCTTTTTCGCACGAATTATTAACTAATTTTACGTTTGAAATTATTTATTGTTTGAAACATTGCATGAAATGGTTTTTGTTTGGATTGTGTTTGATATGTTAAGTATTACCCACAAACCTATTCCCCGAGCCTTTCGAGTTCATTATCGCGGTCTGTCAGTCCTTACGACTCAGTCCACAAACAGGTCAGTCGTTGCTTTCTTGTCATTTTATATCCGTTTGTTTTAACATTTGTTACAAAATAATAAGTGTTTTACCAAATCATTGATTGTATTTGTATTTCCTTTTGGACAGTTGGGTCGTTCAAGTCCTACACTAATTGCTGACAAGGAATCCATGTTTAATGACTTGAGTCGAGTTTACACTTATAGCTATTTGGCTGCAGAGCCGACTCAGGGTTATCTGAAACGACCTCTGGAGCCAAGACCTCCCAAATCGCCTCAATTTCATAGACCCCCTGAAAGCTTTGGGAGGCGTCGGGTGTACACGAAATCTTTGCCAAAACAAGGGATGCAAGCATTAGTTGATAACTTGCAGACGGGTCAGCCCCGACCCAAATCTCCAGCCATGAACAATGAAGAGCCAATCGAATTAGCCCACTATCCCGGCGCCCAAAAGCCCAAACCCAGCGATATTCCCAGAATCGAAAGGGACGACTTTCCCGCCCCACCGGTATTTCAATAAATAATACATTTTGTATACAATTGCTATAATATGTGGTATAATATTAGTTCCCGTATACGGATCCCGAGCGCATACGGAGATACAGTGGCAACTCGAGAGATGCTGACATACAAGAGGGTGAGTTTGAGGATGAGTTGGACCAAACCAATGGTGATCCACAGCTTAAGAAAGAGGAAAAGGAACTCTCGAAGATCGCCACCGGAATTGGAAAAGTGTTTCTTAAGACAGTTCACGAAAGAGAGAAACTGATGGCTTGGAAGAAGTCTCACATCGACCCCAGAAAAGCTTCGCGAACGCCTTCTGCCAAAACTGAACTACCGGCGCGACTACGATATGAAAACCCTGTCAATGCCTGTATGTCTTATTTGATTTGTCACTCACTTGTAACTGTTGTAATGACATACTATTGGTTACAACATCAGCCCCTTCTCGTGATATGGATCGCCCCAAGCCTTGGGAAGACGATGAGATCGATAGGGGGTCGGCGTTCAGGAGTTCATATATTGGCAGACCATATATCTCTCCCATTAATTATAACGGTATTGATCATTGTTTCCATTGACTGGTGTTTTATTGTTAAATTGTGTTTCAGTTATATCTTCGCTCCGGAATGTGCCGCGACCCGGCTATTTGCAGCACAAGTCTTCAACTCTACCGCCCCGTGACAGCCATATGAATGTGAGTGATGTTTGACTGTATTATCACTTGTATGTCATCACAAATTGTTTAAAATTAATGTTTCATTTAATGTTGAATCCAAAGGGAAGTGGTTCTCCATTTACTGACAGAATGATTGAGAAGACTCAGAGCATTGAGTTCAGTAGTGGAAAGTCTGATAGTAAGTCACTAAGGAATGCCTTTTATGCGAACAATACTTAGTGTATATTATTTATGCATTACTGCAGTTTCAATGCTTTCTGAACAACACGACAAAAGCGGCCGGAATTACATTGTAAGACATGTCGTGACTTTGCTTTGAAGTCATACTCAAACAGTTGTCTCTCAAACAGAACCATTCGATTAGTGGGACCTTCCGGACGACACCCTTTTCCGATGGCTTCGGTGGCTACCGATACGCCTCATATTCACCGCATTTACGCCGATCTATGCCTAACGTTAACTTTCACTTACACTCTAACGAACCCCCGCGTCAGTACCCCTACCATCTCCTGGTGACCCACAACTATAGACTGCCTCCAGGTTTGTCTCTTTTGGCGTGTATTCAATGCAAACAATTAATACTTGATTGTCATGTGTGGTAGACGTGGATCGGTGCCATTTGGAGAGACATCTGCAGAACTCCGAGTTCGAGCAACTCTTTCATATGAATCGAATAGATTTCTATCGAATGCCTGAATGGAAAAGAAATGAAATGAAACGAAGAGTTAAACTCTTTTAACTTAATCGACAAATAATTTTCATATAATTCAAACTTTTTTGATAATGGATTCGAATTACTGGTTGTTTTGATGGCAATGTATGGCAACTATATTCGACTTTTCGACTTAATCCTAACGACAGTTCCATAAATTATCGATATATTTGTTGTTAATTTAGTTTTGGTTTACTTTGCAATTGACTATTCGCTGACTTTAATCATGAGATTTAAATTTAGTTCAAAAACACTTTCGATGCAATGAATGGTTGAGTCGATCGAGTGATCAATACTTTAATATATATTTAAATATTTAAAGAAAGGGATATTTATTATTAGATTTTTATTATCATTTATTTGTTTCACTAGTTTTGTTCACATTCTAGTCGTCAGTCTTTTTAAAAAATATTTATACAAAACAGACAAATATTTACAGTTCTATTAATATATATTTTTTGTATTAATATATGAGTTAATATAATATATAAATTAAGATTAGGTGACAATAAAGGCAGCCCTCTCTTGAAGCGCAGCTTTTTTTATAAGCAATTCATTTACTATTAGCTATAAATTTATTATTATTTCCAATAAATTTTGACTGAAATCTTAATTTTGTACATTTATTACAATCCCTATAACCACTGTAATGAGTGGTCATTGTTTGCAATACTTGGCCTGAATCCACACCCTATACATGCGGACCTGTTTGGCGCGATTCACTTGAAGACGTTTGTCTGAACGTAAGAATAACTTCTTGAGTCCAGCGCTCGTCAACATGGAGTCGATCTCCTCTTGAGTGAAGAAGTAAGCTCTGGTTCCGTCGCCGCGAACATAGAAATTGTCTTTAAGACAATGACCCGCTTTGAACCTCACTTGAGTCATGTCATAGCGACCATAGTCTCGGAACAGCAACAGTCCGCCCACTTTCAGATACTCTCCGATTTTGTTGATTACGTTTTGCATACTTTTATAGTAAACACAGATTTAGATATGGATTGCATTTAAAGAATAAGACAATTGTTGGACACAAACCGATTGGGATCTATAGCCGAGAGAACGAAGATCATTGTCACCACATTTAGACTGCATTTAGGGAAGGGAACCGTCCAGTCCTCGCCAGTTATGTCAAGAGTGAAAGCATTGCATCTCTTTTGATCGTATAATGCATTTCCTTTCACTAATGATATGGCAGTCGACGAGAAGTCACAGCAATATATCATTAGATTTGGGTTTCTATGATATGATGCAAATGTGGTCACAATTAATACAAACATAACTCACAGTCAACACCAATACTAACGAATTGATTTGGAGGACCGGAAACACTGTATTCCCGACACCACATCCCAACTCAAGAATATTAACTGTTGGCCACTCTATCGCCTCACTATCACTCTCTTGGGATGACTTGGCAGTGGTGTTGAGTTCCGGGAATTCAGTCAACAACCAGTGCCTGTCCTTAAAGAACTTATTCTCGTGTTTGTCGTAAAACTGATCCCAAAATATATTCGCGTTTTTGTCCAAATGATCCACTCTTTCGTCTGACACCCTCTTCACTGAGTTCTCCATCACTTTGGCTTCAATGGTCTCTTTGAATGTCTCATCCCATTCCACGTCATCCCTAAACACAAGTATTATTCATATTTAAATCATAGCTCAAGACATGACTGCATTGAATCCATTACCACGCGTTGTGTTGGAAGACATTGCTCTCGTCTGTCAGATATCTACTGCCGAATTGAGTCCTTTTGTCACTCTTGGGGTCACTCTTGGGATCACTTTCAGACATTTGGTCAATAGTTGTGTCAAATGGACTGCAATTCAATGATTTAAATGTATTGTTGATGTGTTTGACTCCAAACACGTGTTTATCACGAGTTGTATACAAAGCAGTGTCAGAGACAGCGGTGAGAGTGAGAGTGCAGTGAATCATATGTTTTGTCAAAACAAACAAAACGTTTACGTGTTTTCAAAGTTAGTCTCAAATGAGTGGCAAATGAATGCGAAATGAGTTTTAAATTCAATCAAAAACTAGTGTTTGCTTTGAAAGCAATTTTATTGCTAATTGTTTTGACTTTTGTTTGGTTTCACTTCAAAATCTCTAATCTTTCCGAAAATAGTTACCAAAAGAGTAAACCGATTGCAAGCAAAGAGATCTCAAACTCTTCTGAATCTTCTTCATTAGGTTTGACACGGATTTCAATTAAGGACTTAAAAGACAGAATCGATTCATTGAATACACGACAAGAAGTACACAATTATCACACATTTGGTCCACTTTTGGACAACCATTTGGTTATTTTAATTCAAGTCCACAATAGAGTCGAGTATTTGTCGGCTTTGATTCAATCCTTACAACAAACTCAAGACATTCACGAAGTATTGCTTGTCTTCAGTCACGATGTCTTTGATCCACAAATCAATTCAATGGTTACTTCTATCAAGTTTTGCAAAGTAAGTGAAGACTTCTCATATCGTTTCACTATATTTCTGACATATTTCATTGGATGTCCTCTAAGACAATGCAAATCTTTTATCCGAAATCATTGCAATTGAATCCCAACTCATTTCCGGGCGATTCGGTCGATGACTGTCCGCGGGATCTGTCCATAAAAGAGTCAGTTAAGAGTAGTTGTGATCAATTGATTGCTTATGACATGTTTGGTATGAATGGACTGAAAGGGCCCAAAGAATTGGCTGCAGAAACCGATTGAATGCCGACTCTTACGGTCACTTCCGAGAAGCCAAATACACTCAAACCAAACACCACTTCTGGTGGAAGATTAACGCCGTTATGTCGGCCCTCGAGATGACGCGAAGCCATTCCGGAGACTTCATGTTCATCGAAGAGGATCACTACTTATCGCCAGACGCTCTCCACGTCTGGAAACTCATCAAACAATTTCGCAATGAGTTGAGTCTCATTTGGATTCAATGCCAATACTATTGCAAATGATTTTGTTTGAATCGATTGTAGCAATGAAATCATCACTTTGGGCTCATATACCCGTTCAGTGGATTTTGTCCAAAATGGTCATCTCATAGAAAGGAGTCAATGGATCTCTAGTCGACATAATATGGCATTTATCATCAACCGGTAGCTAAACATTCGCTAGACTTTATGTTCAAATTATTGAGATTTCTTTAATGAATGTCATTTTAAAGCAATATTTGGCACCAAATCAAAGACTGCGCTCAAAGTTTCTGCACTTATGATGACTACAATTGGTATTTACAGTCCAACCTTTGACAAGATTATGTGCAAATAACAATATCCTGGTTCTCTTTATTCAGGGACTGGAGTTTGCAATATGTTAGCGAAAATTGTCTCAAATCACCACTTTATACACTTGTTGTGTCCACTCCAAGGTTTATATTCAAATTACTGTTTAATTATAGAAAGATAATTACTGAATGATAATGTGCACAACCATTAGAGTGTATCACACGGGCGAGTGTGGACTCCACCACAAGACTAAACGCTGCAATAATAAAGAGATTATACAAACAATTAGAGATACATTCGAGTCCTCGAAAAACTATCTCTTTCCCAAACGTATGGCTTTACATAAAAGGCCTCAAAAAGCTTTTCGAATGCCTAAACCCAATGGAGGGTGGGCTGACCCCCGCGACCACGAGCTATGTCTCAACCAAACTAATCACTCTTTTGGTTAAATTAAGTTTTGATGATTTGCTGAAACTTCCATTTGTTGTGAACCCCAGAGAATCCATTGAATCTGTTGAAGCCTTTCGTGATATCAAATTCTAGTCGATCTCTAATTACAGTTAGATTTATAGTTCACAATACTTAGCGATTAATGATTTATTTGGTTGAATTTGCGGCAATTAATTAGTAAGTCAACTCAATGGCAACGGTACCTCTATTTCAAAGTTGGAAATGTTTTTTATAATGAAATTATTTAATACTGTGTTTAGAAATATAATGATTTAAAGTTTATTTATGAGAAGAATAACATTGATGATTAGATAAACTAATATAATATATTGTAAACACACTATAATATAATATACTATTATATAATATATTCAATACTTTTATTTATAATTTTAAACCAATAAAATTGTGTATATTTTTCGATGAAATCCAACTAAAATAGTGTTCAATTAATAACATTTGAAATTTTCTATTATTTGAAAATTTACACTAAAAGTACTCATTGATTGTGTGGACGGATATCACAATCAGATCTCTTGATCGGAGTCATCACTGGAGAAGTCATTAGTTTTGATGGACATCCGGTCAGCCGTAGAGATGGAGGGCTGCGGAAGATTTCTGTAAAAGTCGAGCCACTCGTCCATCATCTGCGCCACCAATAGAGGCTTTCGTGGAATCTTTTGTTTAGCGGCTAATATACCACCCGTTGTGACACAACAGTCCAACCACTGCCTGATTATGTCCTCCTCTCTGCCCAACTCGTTGTGGCCCAAGAAGTGAAGCGGCAATAACTGGTGCTCTGATGTAACTAATGGTAAATATATCACTTCATTGTCATCATTAGATCTAAAGTTAGCGCCGGCGCCGATCTGTTCGTCTGAGGGCACGGGCTCTATGGGCACCAGAGCTGAGAAGTGTCCCCTCGTGTAACCCAAAGCTATCGGAGATTTCCAACAGAAACTCGATTCCCAGAGAAGTGGCAAATATATGCCTTCATATCCGGCGTAACCCAAAGAATCGCCTCTAAAACTCTTCACTATACGAATGGCGTACACAATGATTGGACGCCGAAGTATATGCGCTAACGTGAAGATATGGATCTGTTCCAGACTTTGTCCCGGTTGTGATGCCAATGAAAGGATGACAGCCCAGTCTTCGCGCCACTGATCGTCATCGAGAGTGAAGTGCAAGAGATTCGCCTGAAGTGTTTCCGCTTCTTTGAATCGCGGGAACAGAAGAGAAGATCCTTCACTCAGAGAGTCGCCCAAAGCCTTCCTCATACTGTTCTCTCTGTCGAATATACCGAACGTCGCCTGAAGTACTGAATCCAACAGACAATCACCGGTTGAACGGTTCCAAAGGGCATATCTGTACACAAATCGGTTCAATTGAATCGCAAATAATGGGTAATAAGGAAATAATGGCAACATTTATATAATTAGAAAAACAAGTATTAAAACAAAATTGAAAAACTAATTCAAAATAATTATAATTCATTCATCACTTACAGACGCGAACCCAAGCGTTCCGTGAGCTCTAAACTCCAGTTAATAATCGGTGACTCGTCTTCCAGTTCTATCAAATCAATGGGAATCTCAAGAATTGTAAGCAAATGAATGCAATGGAGACATACCTTTCTGGACGTCGCGGTCTAAGTACTCATCGAAGAGTCTTTGCTGAATAGGTGGCGATAAGTCTTCGATCTCTTGAGGCAAAGCGAATGTTACGAATTCAGTGACGAAATAACAGCCAAACTCTCCCTTCCGTTGTTTGAGTCCACTCGCGAACAGTCGTCTGATCTCTGCCGCCAAATAACGGCTCACATCCGACGGCACCCGTTTGGCCACTGGACGTGAACTCTCACCTATAAGCAGGTCTAAGTCATAGAGCTGTTCACATCTTTGAGCACTTCTCTCATCGATATAATCATTAGTTGTCGACGAGATATCACTTAAGTTCTCATTAATCTTATTATTAATGATATTATTGTAATCATTAGAGCACTCATTAGCAGCAATGGCTGGCATTGGAGGCAAAGGACTGTCTCTGCGCTTATCGTCACGTGAATGCGTGTCAAGTACTGAATCGGTTGAAGTGATTGTTTGCGGTCTTTCGCCACAATTTGTAGCATTTTTTCTTGGGGTCAGACAAAGAACACATTTCTTGGAAGCGTTCCAATTATCATAAGTACAGGCACTGCACGACCACTTGAACCCACGAACCACTCCAATACTCGAGTACTTCTTGTGCTTATTCTTGTCATTACAATAGCTGTCAGAAGATATAGTATTACTATTAGCCGAACCAATTGGCTGTCCATCGAGTGAATGGCCACTCGATAGCTCTTCATTAGAAGCCATTTGTTTTGAATCAGATTCAGGTTTAGGACTTGTATTGCGAGTCTTGCGTGGAGTCAAGCATTGGACACATTTGAGTGATTTGTGTCATCGAGTGAATGGCCACTCGATAGCTCTTCATTAGAAGCCATTTGTTTTGAATCAGATTCAGGTTTAGGACTTGTATTGCGAGTCTTGCGTGGAGTCAAGCATTGGACACATTTGAGTGATTTGTGGTGATTGAGGAAAGTGCAGACATCGCACCACCACTTCATGTTCGTCTCATTCTTCGCCGAAGACTTCTGGTTGTTATCACACATCGAGTCCTGAAGTGAAGACATCTGTCAAACAATTACCACTCATTAGTATCATCATAACAAAGACAATGACATCATTACACACTTTATAGATATCTTGCGATGGATTTTGATGGCAATTATCATCAATGATGAGCTGAATGGCTGATTGTCTTAAGGCTGAACACATGGTACACTTGTTTGCCTTCGAGTAGTTATGATAAGTGCAACGATTGCAACACCACTTCCTCTCCAGATCGGCCATCACTCACCACTACTTCCACTTCTTCGAGTACTTCACCACTACTTCCACTTCTTCGAGTACTTCACCACTACTTCCACTTCTTCGAGTACTTCACCACTCGAGACGATCACTGTTTGGCCACTAATTGGTAATGAGTTGGAAAGCAAAGCATATATTGCACTCAAATTGGGTTTATATTAATGTATGACTTAATGTATAATTATATTACAATTACATGTAATGAAATAAAATCTATTTATAAATTAATTAAATTATTATATTTTTATCAAACATTTTCACACAAATTGTTTATTAAATCAAATGAATTCATATTGAAATCAAATGAAATTCATATAAACACTGAAATCACAGTAATTTAATTCAATTGTTATTTATTTGTTTTGTTTTGCTTTCAATTCATTCAAAATATACTGAAAATTAAATGCAAAAGTGAGTCAATGTTCCCAATGTTTACGTCATTGCAATTGCGTTCATGTATTACGGCTTACAATACACTTCACATACATTTCACATACATTTGTGTGTTGACTGTAATTCACACAACATTTTCTTCAATCAATGCAATGTTTTTTCACTTTCAGGTCCAATATATTCATTCAAATCAATTGCTTTTTCTATGATTTCAGTGCAAATCACAAACGTTAGTTACTTAGTTAATATTCCTTTGCTCACTATTCAAACACTAGTTTCTCAACAGTAAATCCCTGGCTAATATTTCAAGCAGTGAAAACCACAGTAACTTCCGTCACAACCTGCTCAATGAGTGTTGCCATTGTCTGCAGACTCTGCATTGTATCTCAAGTATAGTCCTTTGAGATGTTAATCAAATACCTGATCCGACCATCACTTGTGTCCAAAGCGTGCCATTCATTGGCGAGAATAGCAGTGAAAGACAGGTATAACTGAATTGACTCTGCATTATATCTCAAGTATAGTCCTTTGAGATGTTAATCAAATACCTGATCCGACCATCACTTGTGTCCAAAGCGTGCCATTCATTGGCGAGAATAGCAGTGAAAGACAGGTATAACTGAATGAATGAAACGGCTATTCATTGAATGCATTGAATGTGTGATGAGTTTCGCGGAGAGTCTGTGAGAGGGCTCTGGCGGTGGCATTGACTGCAGTTTGCGCTCATTTCACACAAACACTGATCACTTGATCACTAATCACTGGTTTCTGTGATTTGTCTCATTGTTGTCTCATTTGATTGATTGTCAGACCACTCGTGTATCACTGCATACGTGCCATCAGTTCAGTGAGTCTTCGTCGCAATATGGAGGAGCACGCAGTGGTTCCCGATGTCATCGACTCCGTGCCCCCACATGTCCTCGAGGTATGCTTAAGACATTCGCCATTTGATGCCATTTAACCGTTGATTGCATTTTCAGGTGAAATACCCGTCAAATGTTGAGCCAAAGGTTTGTTGCTTTCATTGTTTAGATTGACTCTGCATTGTATCTCAAGTATAGTCCTTTGAGATGTTAATCAAATACCTGATCCGACCATCACTTGTGTCCAAAGCGTGCCATTCATTGGCGAGAATAGCAGTGAAAGACAGGTATAACTGAATCAATGAAACGGCTATTCATTGAATGCATTGAATGTGTGATGAGTTTCGCGCAGAGTCTGTGAGAGGGCTCTGGCGGTGGCATTGACTGCAGTTTGCGCTCATTTCACACAAACACTGATCACTTGATAACTGATCACTTGATCACTGGTTTCTGTGATTTGTCTGATTGTTGTCTCATTTGATTGATTGTCAGACCACTCGTGTATCACTGCATACGTGCCATCAGTTCAGTGAGTCTTCGTCGCAATATGGAGGAGCACGCAGTGGTTCCCGATGTCATCGACTCCGTACCCCCACATGTCCTCGAGGTATGCTTAAGACATTCGCCATTTGATGCCATTTAACCGTTGATTGCATTTTCAGGTGAAATACCCGTCAAATGTTGAGCCAAAGGTTTGTTGCTTTCATTGTTTAGATTTGATTGAACTGTCAGTACATTTCGTAGACATTAGTTATGATTATAAGAGCTATGAATATGTAATGAAGGCCTTGAATGTGATAATCGATGGCAACGTGTGATAAGATAAGTCTAACTGTAATGTTGTGTTTGGCAACAGTTGGGCAATGAGTTGACACCGACTCAAGTGAAGGACATCCCATCGGTGGTGAAGTGGCCGACAGATGCTCATGCATTGTACACACTGTGTATGACAGACCCGGATGCGCCCAGTCGTCAACTCCCCAAATACAGGGAATGGCATCACTGGCTGGTCGTCAATATCCCCGAGAATAACATCGCTAAGGGAGATGTGCTCTCGGAATACGTGGGATCAGGTCCTCCCAAAGGTTGTCCACGAGTCACTCATAGGCTCTACTCATTAAAGTGATTCATTGTATTCATAGGAACCGGACTTCACAGGTATGTCCTGTTGGTGTATAAACAGCCCAATAGACTGACTCCCGATGAGCCCAAACTAAGCAACAGATCGGGCGAAGGACGTGGACAGGTATGCCATGACTTAGTGCTCTTGACGGCAGTCTATTAATGTGTTAACTGTGTGTCAGTTTAAGATCCGTAACTTCGCAAAGAAATACAATTTAGGTGAACCCATATCAGGCAACTTCTATCAGGTATACAATCATTGAATTGCAACTCATTTTACAAATTACTGACAAATACTTACACTTTAGGCCCAATGGGATGATTATGTGCCCAAACTATACGAGCAGTTGAGTGGCGACTAAAATGACATACAATTTGGTTTTATAAGTAAAACATGTTTTATTAGATAATAATGCGTTCAAATAATTTGTACCCAAATATATATAACTAATGCATAAAAAATGAATTCCAATAAAGTATTGGAGTTTTGTTTGAATGAATAAAAGTTTGAAATTTTGTGCAACTTTTAAATTGTTGTGAATTTCTGTATAAAAAGTTAAAATGTTTGACAAAATCTTATATACTGTATATATTATATAATTAATTTAAAAGTTATTCAAACTCTAAACGAGAAATAATTTATGTTAAATCAATCAATCAATGAAAAAGCATTCAACGTTTAGTTAACAATACATTTCGTCAAATAAAGTAACATTTTAACGAATGTTATTCAAAAATTAAAGCATTTTTGCGTCAATATATCAATTCATTAGTTCTTTTTATGACGGTTTGAATAAATCGGTGAATGTTTTAAATTACGGTATAAATGTATTTTCGCTACAAATCAAGTACTGGTTCTTGACTTTCACTCTCATTCTTGGGAATCGTCTCCGAAATGATGTCCGAAGAGGTGTCCAAAACGAGCGATGATTTGTCCTGTTCTGGAGTCTCCTCAGCAATGCTCTCATTCCTCAAGTTCTCGACCTCGTTGTCAGTATTATTGAGTTGTGATTCCATGAGTCCATTAGTCATGTCTTCATTAGTGTGATCCGAACAAAGAAGTCTTCCATCGGGTAATTGCTGTCGAAATAGTATTCATGAGATTTTAAGTGAAACAACAATTAAGTGATAAATTACTGTTAGTTTGGATGGAATGGCGTGTTCTTTGCAGAGCGAGTTGGGACAGTACTCGCACAGAGCGGTCGCAGGTTTGCCGCACGTGTCGCAGAAATGACGGGGGCATTCCCATTTGCCTTTCGGTGTTTGTCCGAGTTTTAGGCATTCCAAGTGATACGATTTGGGACACCCTTTGCGGTCGCACATAACGAGGTCTCCGCCCTCACCGCAAGTGAAGCACTCGTCGTCATGCATACTACTGAAGTGCTTCTTCTCGTTCCTCTTCTTCTTCTTCTTGATTGGGTGTCCGTTGGGCGCACTCTTGCGGCTATTGTCGTCCACTTTGGGGCGAACGCCTATAAAACCGGAACAATTGGTTGAACCGCAGATGCATTTGGTTTTCTCGTTTCCACGACAATCGAGATTATAATTGAAGGTCAGCTCAGTTCCGGTGGGAATGTCGCAGACGGCGAAGAGGCCGACACGAGTGGCGCCGTTGACCATCCATTTCTGGGTCTCGCAGTTGGGTTGACACGAGTGGTTCATAAATCGGGCCAAATTGCCTTTGGGTCCGGCGTCGATGATCTTCTCCTTATCAATGGTCAGGAAATAAAAGTTCGATTGACTGTTATCTCCCATTGCTTTCAGTCTTCGCTCGCATTCCTCCTCATCGATCAGTTCGCCGACGTATTCGATGACAAACTGACCCTTTTTGATGTCCTCCTCTGCTTTCAGCCCCCAACCGGCCGACTCAGTCTTGAATGGCTTACTGGCCGAGTACTCTCTCTTTTTGAACCTCTGATTTCTGCACTTATCGCCGGCGCTACACAGTTTGGGATCGCATTCAACCATAAGGGCTCTGTTGATGCAGTTCTCGTCATTACAAGACATATCGTTCTTCACTTTACATTCACATAAACTGATCTGTGATTCGTCTGAATTCGTGATCTGGACTCTAAGTCCCACCGCTTTGTTGGACTAAAAACACAATTCGTTACACACTTTGGAGAATCAAATACTGAACACAAAACTCACTCTAATGTGTGTATAGGGCGGCGGCTTATTGGCAGCCATTGCTCTCCTTATGGCAACCTTCGACTCCTGCCATCCCTTGAAGTGTTCGGCGGCCTCTTCAGTCGCTATTAAGACAATTGAATCCATTCATAAGAAATAACTAAAACTAATACTGTATAACATGTTAGGAAAATGAGTTCAAACCTAATTTGAATGTTTTCAGTAGAGATTTGTTGTTCTTCTTTCCGCCACCGCTCGCAACGACGGCTTTGTTGTCGCCCTCCATAAACAGGAACACCCGTCCCCTGTGCACCCAATAGTAGTCATGCGATCCAAAGAAGTAGACGGGAAACTCTCCGACCCCATGAGGGAGTTTCATGACATTGTCGGGCACTTGCTTTGGGTGCGACACCTTTCCCGGCCACCACCTATAGAAGCCTAGTTTCACCCAAACTATGTCTCCATAATGTAAAGGCTTTCGTGACGTGCAATCAGTGCAGTAGAAGTTGGAGTCGGGATCTAAGCTATAGTCCAAACAAGTGGTGTGAAAGGCCGACGGACACGACTCGCAACATATTAGTTGACCGCCTATTAGAGTACAACACTTGTGTTAAAGCAATCATATAATTAGAGTAAAAGTAAAACCAATACAAACCTGTGAGACATGAGAAGCAGTAGTTGACGTTCACGTGTCTGTCTTTCTTCCTCTTCTCGTGATGATCGGGACAAATGACGTAATTCTGCGACACCTGAACAGTTCCAGCAGCGATGCAATAGTCACCCAAATGGTAAGCCGTGGGACAAGATATGCATTTAACTAAACGTCGACGACTTGGACGGAACTCTTTGTCGTTTTGACTCTCAATATGACAGTTAAGGCAGAAATGAAGCGGACAAATGAAACTGTCCTTCGATTCCGACAATTTCACGGGAAATCCCTTCTCCAGACAACTGATGTGGTAATATTTGCCACATTTGCTGTCATTGCACTTCTGGGGCTCTTTCTCATCCTTGTTATCAGCGCTCTTACAAACAAAACATCTATGTTTTCCTGGAATTTAAACATTTTTATTATTTAGAGTCTAAACAGTACTCTATAATCTGAAATACCTGTTTGACATTCAGTGCATTTGAATTGATTATCAATTCCTTCATATTTAGAGCACTTTCGGTGAAACATCTGAAGACAACTTCCCTGACAAGTCATCAATGAATCCGCGTCTTCAGAATCGTTGCAAACCACACAAAACTTATCGATACAAATCTTAACGCCGTCGACAGCTTCTGGTTCTGATGTAGAACTCGTGTCTTCACTGCTCGTAAACTCATCCAAATAGTCGATCCCAAAGTGGACGAGAGAGGGGTCGCTGTTGGCAACGGTCTTCTCATTGATACCGTTCTCTTTAACAGTCTTTTCGGTTGACTTCTTCGACGACTTCGGAGTCGCAACGACTGGTTTTTTGGGAGTTTTCTTCTTTTGAGAAGCTTTCGGTTCAGACTTTTTCACCGAATTTAATGCCTTAACCGGCTGTCCATTGGACTTGGGTTCAGGTTTTGGTGTCTTTTTAGGCGAAGCTTTTTTAACGGGACTCTCAGATATAACTAGATTTCCCTCACAATCGCTGCCATCGCTCGCAGCCTTTTCACTAACTTTCTCTGAATTTCGTTTCGATTTTCTATTGCTTTTGGGTTTAGAATCGGATTTCGGTTTATTTAATGCCACGGATTTAGGAGTAGAGACAGCAAGAGATTCGCTATCATTGGTTGGCGCGAACTTTCTGTCGGTGTAGAGCGCCCTCAAGTCATCTCCGAGTAGATCCCATCGTCTTTGAAGCATTTCATTCACTTCCTGTGGGTTTGCGCCGGGATTTTCCGATTCAACAGTTTTGTAGTGTCGGTCCACATAAGTGGCAAACTCTCCCTTTTGGACGCGTTTTCTCCACATTAGTCCAGGCGTTGATTGCGAGACATTAATGGACGCCTCGTCGTCATCGAAGTCGTAGATGTCTTCTGGAGAACTGTTAAGCTTTTTGCGCTTAGAATCCATTCCTTCTCCAAAAGAATTTTCCAGTTTTCGTCTTAAATTCACTTTAGAAGAGAGAATGTATTCAAACGTAAGGCTTCTGACCCTCTCTTCTGTGGCCAGTTTGGCCGCATCTTCCGCCTCATCCACCGATTGGTCCCATTGTTTCTTAAGACTCGCTTTTATAGCATATTTCGCAGCAATTTTAGCCGTTTGTGCTTTCGGTGAACTCTCTTTCATTGACTCCACTTTCTCTAAGTATTTATCTCTGCCTTCAAAAGGCATCACTTGTCCCACAGAAGTCCAGCCCCGCAGCGCTTGCGGTCCGAAGTACTGGACGTGATATACGCGTCCGGCTTTGTAACTCATTCCTAACAAACATATTACCCTTTAATACACATTTAAGTGAAACCAAAATGAAAACAAAAATTACCTGAAATTTTCGAATAGAGAGCAGTGATGGGGTCGAGTGAGACCATACACGGCCACCAGGGATAGCCCGACACCTTCGCCCATATGAGGTCACCGACACTATACTCGCCCTCTTGAGGGGGAATCGTTATAAGCACGTGTCGGTCAACTATTGTCGACATCGAGTCACCCGTCAGTTCAATGCACTTCTTCTGAGGCACAGACTCTTTGTTTGTCTTTTTCTTTGAAGACGTCGTCGGAGTCTTGGTTTCCGTATCGTTGGACTTACTCTTGATTTGATCGATAACTGAATCCAATTTATTAGATCTTCTCTTTTTGGTGCTCTTAAGCGGTGACTCAGATGTTCTTCGTTTGGATTTTCTCAAACCAGGAGTCGATTCATTCAAATCAGTCTTCGTTTTATCGGCGCCTCTGGTCTTAGTTTCTCTCTTAAGCGGCGTCTCAGCGGCCGATGTCTCGGAGGCCTCACTGCTCTTCAATGAAGACCTCCTCTTCACGTCATATGTAATCATCTCTGGATTCGGTGTCTTTGCCTTTTGTAGTCTTCCGTATCGGCTTCGCGTCAATCTTTGCTCTGAGTTCTGTTCACTCGGTTTGTCATCACTTTTGGACTCAATCGGTGTGTTTGTCGTCAACTGAATACTACTTCGTTTACTTCGAGTCACTTTCGGCGTAACAACTGATCCGTTCGGCAATTCCTCTGCATTTGCTGTTAACTCACCCAAAGTGTTCACTTCTTTCACTCCATTTTCGTTTAAACCATTTTCGGCGGACTTCTCATTATCTGTCGATTTGTGGTTCAGATCTGAGACCACATTTGAAGTGACAGTTGAGTCCAAGTCAACCAATTGTGTGAACTTTGTTTGAGGCGCCGGTGGCTCAGAGTTGGTCTCTGGAGGGATCGTCTCATCCTTCAGGTCTTGTTCGCCGCTCTCTTTCACTATCGCTTCGTCCGATTCTTCGGCAGATTTCGTGTCATTTGATGTCACAGTAATAGTTGTCTCCATTACTGCAGACAATGTGTTGACAATTGAATCACTGATTTGCGAGTGAATGGCAAGAGTGGATCAAATGGTACAGAGATGTGAGACTCACTGGAAGTGACTGAGTGGTGATGAATGGTGTTTGGGTCACAGAAATGGCAGCAATGGCTGGGAATGAGAGTCCAACCAATAGTCTTGACTCTGGATTCACTAATTCATAAACTGTTGCCTCAATGGTGTGACTGTGGGTTGGGTTCACTCGTCACTGCAGACAATACATGAATGAGTGGATCAATTCGTGGATCAATTCGTGGTCACTGAATGGCACTCATAATGACAACTAATTGCTAATTGAATGCCAAATTCAACCTCAATCTAAGGCTAACTGTAAGCACAGCACAGACTTAGTGCCAAAAAGCGGACAAAAGTGGCGAACACTCCAAGGAGTCAGTGCTCGACACACGACATGACTGACTGTGTGTTGGCTTCACTACCTGTCATCGCACACACCGCTCACCACAGACTCACTGCATAGCCGTTGCCTTCAATGCCATTGCCTTCCCTTCACTCACCAAACGCTGCAAACACTGCACACACTGTTCACTGACTGAACATTTTCACTGTGAAACTGTTGCCCAAACTTTCATAACAATTTGCACTGTTTTGCCGTTCAAGTGACCCTACCTTCACATCTAGGCCATTACCGGTATATCACATACAGTAATACTACCATGCTTATCATTTGCAATCAATTATCAATTCATTGTAATGAGTAATTGTCACCAAAACTAATCATCTTTTTCTGCCTCACATTCACATTAGATTTGCTTTGCGTTCACAAGAGATGTCCGATAAGAGAGAACCACCGAAAGGACAGCCCATTCAAAGCCGGTCTCTATCTATAGTTACTGTCCATTAGTTATCCTTAAAATGAGTTCAATTAGTGATTAAAACAAATGACAATTAATCCAAATAAACAATACATTATTTTATTGATTAAAAGTTTCAAACTAATGTTTACCGGTTAATGAGATACCGCTTACCGTTATGTCTGTATTTATTTGATGACAATTAGTAGAAAGTAATCATTTGTTGCTTAGAGTTGAGCCGAAAGGTGATGGGATCAGATCGATGGGTGCGACCAATGTGTTCCGGGTGGTCAACTTCGAGCTGTTTGTAAAACCGGTAAATTTGAATGACTTATCATTTTGTGAAAAGTCTAATCGTCTTGTCGTGTGTGCCATCAGAACAAGTATGCCATGAGTGCCGGTGTCTGTGCCCTAACCCTGTGTTTCGGATATATTTTTTATATGAATTATAAGGCCAGAGCTGATCCCTCCACTTATATCGCACTCAATGAAGATGAGACACAAACCATACAACGAAGACAATCCAAGTGGCAATGAATTCATTCAATCATTTTATTTGTTATAAAATTTAATTAAATTCAATATTATTTATAAGTTAAACAAATCTTTAAGACCAACATTCGTATTGTATTCTTCCTCTAAGTTCCAGTCTATTAACCAGTAGTTCCGTCTCTTTACTGTCTGGTTGTCCACCCATTCTGTCCTTAAATATATCGCAAATCGTTTCTCTCACTTGTTTTGGCATTTGTTTGGCATTTCCGGAGACATAAACCAAAGCATTCTTGTGATGAATCAATTCAAAGACAAGATCTTTTTGTTGCCAAAGAATATTCTGGACGTAAACCTTTTGATCAGAATCTCTGGAAAATGCGCTAAAAAAGTCCAAAAACCCGTTTTCGTTAAATCGTTTCCATTCCTCTTCAAAATAGAAGTCAGACTTTCGATAACGACAGCCGAAGAATAAGAAGTTATTGGAAATCTTTTTCAGAGCCCGATCTCCAATGAAAGCCCTAAAAGGGGCGACACCTGTTCCCGGGCCTATCATTATGATGGGGGCTGAGTCGGGCGCTAATCTGAAGGTGCCTTTCTTGATATAAATGGGAACATTGGAGTTCTTGGACGGCAACTGATTTGCTAACCAATTGGAACAGAGGCCAAGTCTGGGATCTTTGAGTCGTGTCTTATAGTGAACGACTGCAACCAATAAATGCAATTCATTTGGATAGACATTCATTGAAGAGGCGATTGAGAAATATCTCGGATTAATGGCTGGAATCAAGTCAAAGAGATATTGAAATGTTATGCGAGCGGTTGTGTGGGGAAAGTCGGTGAGCACTTCCAGAATATTCCTTTTGGGACGATTGCAGTACTCGTATAAGTCATCGGATGTGCTATTTTGGGCGAATTGTTTGAGTTTCTCTTTTTCCAAATCATTATCACTGAACCGATAAAAGAGATCAAAGAATGATGGCTTTGGGATCGACTGAATGTCCATATATTCCGTGACGAGTGTTAAGACGGAACAGGGCTTCGGAAGATTGTTATAGTATGAGGACTCACTCAACCAATTGTGTTCATTCTTCTCGAGAGTGAAATACATGTCTTTATTTAAATTCAAAAGACTTAGAAACCTATTGATATTTAGGTCACTGTTTTGCGGTTTAATACAACAGACGTCTCCCAAACCATAACTCAATTTTGTGTCATTTACTTCTAGTTTAATATGTCGTACGTCTTGGAAGTGATCTTCGGAAGTAATCCTCTCATTAGACAATACTTTAGCCAAATATGGATTATGTTTGTGGAAGTGTTGAACCGTTTGATGCATTTCTTGGAAATTATTTTTATAACTTTGTTCCCACTTTTTGTCCACAAAATTCACTTTAAAACTGGGGCTAAAGAGTTGGTCCGAGTCTTGGATTTGCGATAAATCGGGTGAAAGAGAAAGCAATTCACAGACTCTACTCCAGAAGACTTGAAGCCACGGATCAATGACAGCATTTGGTCCGCAATCGTGCTGTTCATCACCTAAGACCAGATCCATGAAAGGTTTAGCGCCCAAAGCCAACACTCTTTTGTGCAATTTTTTGGCCACAAAATTGAATCTTTCATACGAAGAGTCACCGAAACCTATGACCGACACAAACACCGAACACAACGAGTCGTTCGGCAGATCTCGTCGTCGAATAAAGTTCCAGAAGTTCTTCATATTATTGGGTTCTTCTCCGACACCCGTCGTCGAGACGATCAACAAAACTATCTTCTCGTCAATCAATTGCGAGACATTGTATTCATCGCAAGCCATCACTCGGACTCTAATCGACCGGTCGATGGCCTGTCGTCCGATCCGTTTTGCCAGTTCTTCACTGTTTCCCGTTTCGCTGCCATAGAGTATCATTAGATCCATCACTTCCACCACTTCTTCAGACAAACACATTATTGCATCAAAT